CAGCGAAAAGACCTCCAAAAAAAAAAAAAAAACTTAAAAAAAAAAAATTGATTGTGAATTACTTTTTCCTGTAGCAACTTAGCGGCTAGAAAGTGCCCTTTTCAAATGTCTCATGTACCTTTTTCCTCAGGTATAGAATACTTTCTTCAGTAGGTTAATACGCACTTTACCAAGGGTGGTGTCTGTATTTGGACTGACATGAACAGATATACCTGAGCCTTAATGGTGGTTCTGAAAAGTAAGGGTACAGCATTTACAGGGAGCTTCCTCATTCCAGGCCATATATTCTAGCACTTTGCAAACATTAGCTCATGTAATCCTCACAGTAGTCTAATGAGGTATCATCTCCACCTTACAGATGAGGAAACTGAGGCACACAGAGGGAAGAACCTTGCCCAAACTTACCGAAGTGTCAAGTGGCAGTGTTGGGATTTGAACCTAGAAATTGAGATCTGTGGCCTCTACTGCCAGCCCTTACTTCCCATTGCCTCTTCCTGCAACCTTTGGGACACAGATGCCATCACCAACTCAGACAACCAAGAGACAGCAAGGCAGACCCACCGTCCTCAATGCCAGCCAAGGATGGGAGACTAAAAGGAATTTCCTCTATTCACAGTGCTCTGACACCAACTGTGAAGGGTTTTTATTCCCACCTTCACCAGTTCAACAGCAGCTGAATGTACTTCTATACAATTCTGACTCCGTCTACCTGGAGTTAGCACAGACTTTGGAGTTAACAGCTCAGTCCCACAAGACTATCCAAACTTCAAATGCCAGTCTAACTTCTGACCAACCAACTATACATGGGAGCTACTCAGGAACCCCTCTGGTTCAATAATGTGCTAGAATGGCTCGCATTCCCACAGAACTCACAAACATTTTACCTCAACCAGTTTATTATAAAAGCTAAAAATGGTCAGGAGGTACATAGGGCAAGATCTGGAAAGGTTCTAAGCATAGGAGCTTCTGGTTCTATAGAATGTGGGGTGTGCTACCCTCCCATCACCTAGATGAGATCACAAACCCAGAAACTCTCCAAGCCCCTTTGTTTTAGGGTTTCTAAGGGGGTTCCCTTACACAGGCATGATTGATCAAATCATTGGCCATTAGTAACTCAAGCTCCAGTCCCATTCCTCTCCCTGGATGATGGGATGGAGCTGAAAGTCCCAGCCCTCTAATCCCTGACTTGGTCTCTGGCAACCAGCTCCTGTCAGAAGCCTCCTAGAACCTTCCCTACCAGGTATTCGATCAGCATACAAAAAGAGTCTTATCGCTCCAGAGATCCTAAAGGGTCTCAGAAGCTCTTGGTGGCAGACCAAGACCAAATACAACAAAAGAGCTCCGATTACTCCTATCACTGGGAAGTTACCAAGGCTTTGAGGCTCTGCCAGGAACCAGGAACAGAGGCCAGATGATTTATTTTTTCACTATGTCGAAGACACTGTTGTGAAGTTTACACTCCCCCCCCACCCTGCCCGCGGAGCATGTTGGTGCTCACCAGAGAGACAGAAAGGGAGTAAGCACCCCCAGTGGGGTGTGGTCGTGCCACAATACTTTATCCCCTATTTCTGCATCCCACTGGGATTTGGGACATACATACACATGTACCTGGCATGTTTTTCAAGCTCTCGGGTAGGATTTGAACCATGCATAATAGGCCATGTGGGATCTGGCTCCCTTAATAACCAGGCCACAGGCAGGTTCAGGAAGTTTACACTTTCAGTCAAACAGTCCTGGTGATTCTGGTAGCTGCAGAAGTCAGGAAAGAAAGATAACTGAGCTCACAAAGGAGAGGAGGAACTGAGAGATTTTATAAAGTTACCTTGCTTCCAATTCATCATTTTCAACTTTCCTCTGTTGAGCCATTACTGCATTATGTAACCGATTTTCCTTTATTTTCTCCTTGAGAGTTTCTTCGTGTTTATATGCATGGAAAAGTGTGTTCACAAAAAATATACACATATTACTGACCCACACATTAAGTTTTTCCTTGTGATCCTCCTTGTGTTTTTCAAATTTCTCTAGAACACAATTTAGTTAAAAGGAGCATTAATACAACCCCATAGTATATTTGGAGTCTGTTCGTATTCTAGTTCTGGCCCTTCCTACAGTGGGCTGTGAGTCCTTATCCTGGGTCACATGGGGTGATGCTGAGTTCTCAGAGGGTTGTGAATACTAAGGAAACTGGGGACCAGCAGTTAGCGTAATGGCTATGTTGCTGGACTCTCATGTAGTTGACTGTGGTTCAAGTCCCAGACCCGGTGGCTTAAAACTCACACTGGGTGCGTGTGCATGCGTGCCCAATATTTTGAGAGGAGAATCGAGGAGGAGGAATTGTGTCATGGCCATCCCCCCTTCGGGGGTGATTTCTCGCTTTCTGTCTCTCTGTCTGTCTGACGAGCGCACATGCCCTATAGCAAAAACCTCTCCAATAAAAAAAAGAAAGACTAAGGAAACTGCAAAATGCTCAGTGACTATCTGGAATAAGGCTGGTGCTTGGCAGACCATGGCTGTTACTGTTGGCATTGCCTTTGAGGCTCCTGGAACCTTTATTCCACCCCCATCCCCTTTTTCCTAATAGCTTGGGTTTTTTTGGTTGGTTTGTTTTTTCTCTGTCTTTTTTCCAAATAGCTTATTTTAGGGAAAATTTACATTTTCCATATTTCGGGAACTAGAGGCAACTTTCATTTAAAAAATAATAGTGATATAAAGAGATTTAATTCTGAATTGAACAAGAAAGTAAGTAGATTAAATCTTTAGTTTGTGTTACTTCACTATACAAGAGTAGGGAAGGGGGAGGAGTCTTGGGTAGAGGTACCATAGAAAGGTGAGATTCTGTGAACTATCCACCCTATCAATGTCATCTTCCATTCCAGGAACCACTTGGAAGGCTCAGAGTGAAAGTACAGTGGAAGAACCATGATGCCGATGACAAATTTTACAGAGACTGATAGAAATCTTCATGAGTGCTTCCCAGATGAACTACTAGATTCTAAAATATCAGCAAAATCTATGGTAGGCCTAACGTGTGGGTGAGTGGTGTACATGGAGGTATGGGCCAGGACTGCTGGCCCCAGCTTGCTAAGGATCTTACCCAGCCTCTACTAGAAGCAGCACAGTACAGTAGTTGAAAGCACAGATTTGAGCCAAATTAGTCTCAAGGCCCAGCTGCTACCTCCTATCTGTGTAATCTGGGCAAACTGACGAGACTTTGTGCTCATTTCCTCATCTGCAAAAAGGAATCCAAAGTAGTACTTTCCTCACAGGAAGGTGTGGAGATGGGTACATTCATGCATATAAGCACTGAGCTCCACCCACACAGTAAGCACTCAATGATGTCTTATCATTGTCCTCCCCCAGCCTTGTGTGCTACAACAAATTACTGTCTTATATATTATTGTAAAGTAAAATAGATAAGCCACATACTGGAAGAAAATATCTGCAAGCATCTATCTGATAAGAAACGACTTGTCTCCAGGAAACAAAGAATGTTCTTTTTTTTTTGCAGAGGTTTTTGCTACAGGGTGCATGCGCTCACCAGACAGACAGAGAAAGAGAGACAGAGAGATAGAAAGCGAGAAATCACCCCCCAGGGGGGATGGCCACACTGCAAACCCTTCCCCTCCATTCTCCTCTCGGGATCTTGGGCACGCACGCACATGCGCCTGGCGTGAGTTTTAAGCCACCGGGTCCGGGATGCAAACCGCGGTCGACTACGTGGGAGTCCAGCAACATAGCCATTACGCTAACTGCTGGTCCCAAAGAATGTTCTTTTTTTATACTTAATCACTGTACATCTTCACAGTACACAAAATGCAACTTCCCAGCATTAACTAAATAAGACACATAAGTCATTAAAAGCCATTTTTTTTTTAACACACTGCTAAGTGTTAGAGAGGACATAGAGATGTACCTGTAAATTGGAGTGGCCAATCAGGAAAATCATTTTGCACTTTTTTAAAGTTCAGCTTATATCTTACATATGATGCAGCAATTCCACTGCTAGATGCCTACCCAAGAGAAAGTACACACATCAAAGGCTTGTACACCCATGTTCATAGCAGCATTATTCACGGTAGCCAAAATGTGGAAAAAATCCAATTGTTCACCAACTGCTGAATGGATAAAATGTGGTATACTCACACAGTGGAGTACCATTAGTGATACGAAGAACAAAATGCTAATGCATGCTATTATACAACATGAGTGAACCTCAAGATAATTACAATAAGCAAAAGAAGCTAGATACAAAAGACATGATTCCAAGCCAGCCAGCGGCATGATGATTAAGGCAGCTGTGCTCCCACATAGCTGACTGCTTAGTCTGAATATCAGACCTGGAAGCTTGAAAAACACACTGAGCAGGGACCAGCAGTTAGTATAATGGCTATGTCGCTGCACTCCCATGTAGTCGACCATGGTTCGCGTCCCAGACCCAGTGGCTTAAAACTCATACTGGGCGCGTGTGCGTGCGTGCCCAAGATCCTGAGAGGAGAATGGAGGAGAAGGGATTGCGGTGTGGCCATCCCCCCTGGTGGGTGATTTCTCGCTTTCTGTCCCTCTGTCTCTCTGTCTCTGTTTGTCTGACGAGCACACAAGCCCTATAGCAAAAACATCTCAAAAAATAAAAAAAAAGATGAAAAACACACTGAGCACATGTGCATGTGTGCCCAAAATCCCAAAGGCAGGGAGAGCTGAAGGAGGAGGGATTACAGCATGAACCATGCCTCATGGGGTTGGGGGTGTGATTTCTTGCTTCTTCTCCCTCCATTTCTCTTTGGGAAGCGTGTGTACCCCGTGGCAAAATTTAAAAGAAAAAAAAGAAAAGAAAAAAGACATGATTGCATTCCTAAGAAATTTCCAGAAAGGGGGTCAGCAGGTGGCACAGTGGTTAAGGACGCTGAACTTCCACATGGCTGACCACAGTTTGAGTCCTGAACCTGGTGGCTTGTTTTCTCACTTTTTCTCTCTCTTGCTTGCTCTGTCCCTCTCTGATCAAATTGAAAGAAAGAAAGAAATGTCCAGGAAGGGCAAATTTATGGATAGAAAATGCAGTCATCAGTTGCCAGGGCCAGGGATGAAAGGAGATTAATTTCAAAGGAGCGCAAGAAAACATGTTGACCCAGAACTGTTGTGGTGATGGCTATTATACACTTCAATGGGTGGTTTTCTAATGGTTAATAAATTATATCTCAGTAACCCTGTAATGCCATTTAAAGGAGAGGGAGAAGAGTGGCAATGTCATCTAAAATAATTTTTAACTTAAATATTAAAAATGTGTTTTTACATATTAACAAAAAGTCAACCCTTAGCACCTCTAATTATATAAGCACTTCTATTGTTATAGGGTACATGTACCCACCAGAGAGACAGAAAGCAAGAAATCACCCTCTGAGGGGTGATGGCCGTGCCATAATCCCTTCTCTTTCATTTTGCTCTCAGGGTCTTGGGCACACACTCACACATACCGGGAATGAGATTTAAGCCGCTGGGTATGGGACTCGAACCCAGTCAACTACATGGGAGTCCAGCAATGTAACCACTACACCATCTACTGGTCCCTATAATCCATTATTATTAACTATGGTCACCATGCTCTGCAATAGATCTCAAAAAATGTATTCCTTCTACCTCACTGAAACTTTGTACCCTTTGGCCAACATCTCCCTGTTTCCCCAACTCTCTAGCCTCTGGTAACCACCATTCCACTCACTGCACCTGTGAGTTCAGTTGTTTTAGATTCCACATATAAGTGATATCTGGTATTTGTCTTTCTATGCCTGTCTTAGTTTACTTAGCATAATGTCCTCCAGATTCATCCATGTTGTTGTAAATAGCAGAATTTCCTTCCTTTTTAAGGTAGACTAGTATTCCATTGTGTATGTATACTACATTTTCTTTCTTTCTTTTTTAAATTGCCAGAGAATGCATACACTTGTCAGAGAGAGAGAGAGAAAGAGAGGGAGAGAAGGAGAGGGAGCACCCTCCAGTGTGGCTAGGATGTGCCACAATCCCCTCTCCATTTCTCCATCCTGTTGGGATTTGGGAAACACAAGCACACATGCCTGGCAAGTCTTTCAAGCTGCCAGAACTGGGACTCAAACCATGGTCAACCATGTGAGATACAGTCCTTTCAACCATTAGGCTACAGGGCTGGCTCACCACATTTTCTTCTTCCATCATGTGTTGATGAATATTTAGGTTGATTATGTATGTTAGCTATTGTAAATAATGCTGTGAACATGGGCATCTCCAAATCTCTTTGGCATACTGACTTCAAATCCTTTGGATATGGATATATGCCCTGTAGTGAGATTGCCAGATAATATGGTAATTCTCTTTTTAGCTTTTTGTAGAATCTCCATCCAGATTTCCATAATGGCTGTACTAATGTACATTCCCACCAACAGGGTCCCCATTTTTCCATATCCTTATCAACACTTGTTATCATTCTTCTTCCTTTTTTTAGGTTTTTGTCACAGGGAACATGTGCTATTGAGAGAGAAAGTGAGACATCATCCCTTGAAGGAATAGTCATGCAGCAATCCTTTCTCTTCTTAGGACTTTGGACACACACATATGTGCCTGCACTGATTATCAAGCTGTTGAGTCCAGGACTTGAACTGCAGTTGGCCATGTGGGAGTCCAGTGCCTTAATCACCATGTCACCTTCTGGTCCCATCATTTGTCTTTTTGATAACAGCTATTTTGACAGTTATGAGGTGGTATCTTACTGTGGTTTTAATTTTAATTTCCCTAAAGATTAATGATATTGATAATTTTTTCACATATCTGTTGGCCACTTATATGTCTTTTGAGAAAAGTCCATTTGAGTCCTTTGCCTATTTTTAAAAATGGGATTGTTTTCTAATTATTTGAGTTGAGTTTCTCAGATATTTTGTATATTAACCTATTATCAGATGTATGGCTCACAAATATTTTCTTCCAATCCATAGTTTGTCTCTTCACTCTATTAATTATTTGGTTGTACAGAAGCTTTAGTTTAATGAGATTCCATATG